TTAAAAAAATTAAAAATTACAATTTCTTTAATCTGTTCATATAACGTTTTTCTATATAATCAACGATTTTGCCGGTAAAAATAAATGTATGAAGAAAAAAAATATTTTTTGCCTAAAATATTAAATTTTTTTAAAACTGTTGATTATATAGAAAAACGTTATATGAACAGATTAAAGGAATTGTAACTTTTAATTTTTTTAAATTTGTTTGAGCAAAATCGGACTAGTGGTTCTCGAGTTATGTCAAAAAAAGACCACCAAAGGTGACAATTTCCCCTATATGATAGTTATATATATATCTCGATTCCTAGACGTGACCCAGCGAAACGCCGGGACACGTATAACTTGTTTTTGACCGATATAACATTTCCCGTTGGTTTCATCCCATCCCGATTTTGACTGTCGCATAGTGTAATAGGCCTCGTGCATAAAAAGTGAGCTTAAGCTCCGACTCGATTTTCAGTACAAATTCTTGAGTTTGAGCTCACTTCATCAGTGCAAAAATTGAGTCTGAGCTTAAACTCACTTTTATGCATGAGACCCATTCTTTATTAAATAATAATATTTTCGTTTGGGTTTCTTTTTCTTTACAAGCACGTTCGTCAATTTCATTAGTAAACATGTAGGATCAAAATGCTGCTATATTTGGTTTAAAATGGTAAGGTGTAAGGTAAAGGTGTAAGGTAAAGAGTGAAAGCAAAAGATTTCTTACTGATACCATTCGAGTTCGCTGTGCTATTTCACTGACGCTTAAAATATAGCGAATGTCAATGAGTACTCCTAGCTGCCGCGATGAGAATGAATCAATTGACCAATTTCTGTTTCAGCGGGTTTAAATCATGTATGCATATTACTTATTTTCTCTTTATAAAGGAAGCCCGGTTAGAGGAGCGCAGTAACTTACCAGAAGCGCGAAACGCCCTACATTATGATATTCAACCGTAACCTGACCCGAGTGCCTTTACAAGTCAATATTTGGCACTTGTTTTCCAAATAGAAAGACTAAGGAAATTTTTTTCATGGTATCTATTTTATTTAGTGGCTGACTCTATAGCTCTCTCTATAGCTGTTCCGCATTATTTTATAAAGCCGTAAAGTCATAAACAGTTTTAAACAAACTAAAAGTAGAATAATAATATTTATCAATCATATCCCTTGCCCGAGGACATATATTGCTATATTTAGTGTTAGAATATTTGAAAACAGAATATGTTTATATTAATCCTCACATACCCGACAACGTTTCACTTCAAAGGTTTTGATTTAATTGTTACAGCCATTATGTCGAATCTTAATTTTTTTAGTCATAATCAAATTGAAGCCATTTAAAGAAACATTGAACTTTTCCTGTTCAGCACACATTGTACCGTTAAAGAACTCATTATGACATCCGCATGGATCCGTAATTTTTAAACCAGTTCGTAGGGAAACTTAGAAATACCGTGTCATAAACATTGTGAATGCGCCTAGATCTTTTTAAATTGTGTAGAAGTCATTGCGTGGGGCATGCCTGCTTTTACATAAATGTCCTGCTTGACCATTGACATTTCGCCTAAATTGAGAGTGAGAATTTCTAAGAAGCAAGCAGCACGCCTATGCCCTCCGTGCCCCGGTACCTTAAGGCAGAGCTTCCTATGGGCCTATTCTGCTTATAACCGAACATTTTGTAACACGAATTTTTTTTTTCCGACAATTGTCCCTTCTTCTTGGAACCGAAATTCTAGTTACCTTGGTAACATTATAATTTATTCAGCAATTCAGTTTTGCAGAAATTCTGGTGTTGCATATTTCACGGGAAATATTTTGTTACCTACTCATGACACGGTATCAAAATTTTGTGGTTAGAAGAGTGTGGAGAATGCGAAAAGGGTTTAAAAATTTACATTAACAGCCGTATTCTAACAAAGTCACAAACTTTAGCTCATCACTGCTGTGATTTCTACTGCGCCTCAAAGCTTGCCGCTGCAAAAAATATGCCGCTACAATACAAATTTTTAAGTTTTTGTGTATTTTTCTAGCACTCAAAATCGAATTTTTTGTGACACATTTCTCAAGGGTGCGTTCTACCAATCCAAATGACCTGAATTCGTGCCCTGGTCAAATAAATGTCTCAAAAATATTGAGAAGACGTTTTTCCTTAACACCGCCCGCTCCTCGGCAGGCAATGGCAAACCTCCGAGTGTATTTCCGTCATGAAAAAGCTTCTCACAAAATCCATTGGCTAAAAGCCCACACAAATATTGCCACTGACATAACTTATATCTAGCGACCAAAATGACAGCTGGGCAGCAATAAATTTTATCCGGTGGACACGGCCAGTAAAGTAGTAGGTACCTCCATGTTTGTAACAAAATAAAGGTTTTTTTTTTAATATTGCACAAGGTTTGATATTTTTTATAAAAAATACAACTTTTCCTCGTGAAAGTATTTTATAATTACAAAAATAAAAGTCAGTCGGAATTTTCCAGTAATAATTTTGTTGCGACCGTGCTAGGCATTTTCTTCCATATAAAAGAAATAGTCGAGCATACTTTATATGGAAGAAAATGGACAACACCGCGAGACAAAAAATTATTAAAAATCATCGCGATTTTCTAACGTTTTGAAATTTGCGCTTTGTCCTACTGAAATTTAATCGGCTACATAATTACAATTAAAAAAAAAAAACTGAATTAAAAGTTGGAAATTTTTGGGTGTACTTCGTAAAGTTTGTTGAATTTTTTTTAATTTTTGTACAAAGTTTGAAATGCGGATTTGTGTGGTGCTGGTTATATAATGCGCTAGACTTTTATAAAAAAGTAATAAACATTAAACAAACGAAAGAAATGAAGCCACTTGTTAAAATGTCACCTAACTTAATCAGCTGACCACAAGGATATGTATCGCTCCAGGTTTTNAAGTTTGTTGAATTTTTTTTAATTTTTGTACAAAGTTGGAAATGTGGATTTGTGTGGTGCTGGTTATATAATGCGCTAGACTTTTATAAAAAAGTAATAAACATTAAACAAACGAAAGAAATGAAGCCACTTGTTAAAATGTAACCTAACTTAACCAGCTGACCACCTCTTCAGGTTTCTTGATGAATCCGAATATCCGTCCTAAGTATTAGTTTAAAAACATCTGCTCTTTTGTACTGAAAACGTTTACGTTGACATTAAGAAACGGCCGCAAGATTTAATTTTTTAATTTTTTTAATCATTAAATCTTTCTATTTAGCAAGGTGTCGAAAAACGTGTTTCTGCAAAAATCTAAAGTTTGTTTGATTGGGAAAAATTTCGTTAAGGGCAACAAAAAAAAAACCTAGAAATGGGCGTGGTAGTTTAGAGACTAAAGTTAACAAAACACAGATTTACGCAGAATATGCATCAATAACATGCTATAGTTTAAGTAATGTTGAAGATATGAGCGTTGCAGTAAAGGATTATTTTCGAAAATGGACTTTATATATTTTTGGGAAATGCCGAAAAATCTTCTTAGTAAGTTTTCAAGACCATGGGTTTTTTTTTTAGTTTATTTCTTGCCTAATTTGATATATAACAGATTTTAAAATAAAAACATTTTTAGGCGCCGGGGCCACGCGTTCGTAAATTAGGGTTTATGGTTTTTGCGCTACACATCCCCTAAATTTAAACTATATGTTTAAATTATGTACACATATATCTTAAGGGTACATGTGATTTACGTAGCTTCTCATTAAAAACGTTCCTGTAAATATATGTATGGCTTTAATTATTTGAATTTGTCAAATTTTCTCGAGGTCCTTCCATATAAATCTTTATTTCCCGTCACGGAATGTTATGTCAAATAAATAAAAAATACCTCTGTTATAGCGGAAGTATGACACTTACACAAGATATTAGGTTTGAATATATATAACCATTTGGAAAAAAATAACCTTGTTTTTTTACTTAAGGAACAAACTTTAGAGCGGTTTTTCTTGCTTTTCTAATTGCTGCGATATAAGGACTTGCAGTTTAATTTCCAGATATTTAGAGTTTCTTTGTTTAACTTGCCAATAAAGTTTTTTGCATTGTTTCACTTACTTACAAAGCAAAGTTTTTACACTTAATTTTTATTTTAATTTTTACTTTTATTTTTCGTTATTGTTCATTGTGCAGTTCAGAAGTTTTAAACTCTTTTTTGTGTCACCTTTAAAACTCAAGTCAGTTTTGCGCACTTACCAGCTTCGGAAAATCCAGCTAAAGCCACGACAACAACAGTCGAACAAATGATAAAGTCCAAACAGTAGAAAGACTTCATTTTGATAAAATCCTTTGTTGTATAACAAAACTACCCGACAGCGTTAAAAAAGTAAAAAAATTAAAAATAAACGAAACTTTGAATTACAGTTGTTGCTTTTTTAAGCAGAAAAAATATCGGAATATTTAAAAATAACCGTCGCTAATTTGACCACCAACAAAGAGCACTGAGCGAATGTGATTGTATTTCTAGCTGAGTGAAAGTGTAAATGAATGGTAATGACAAGCGGTGCCGAGCAATCACAAATTGTCACAAGTTCTCACTCTGCTTACTGGTTGCTTTGCTTGTGTTTGGCTGTTCGCGTACTTCGTCTTACCACGTTCACCGAAATTATGCTTGATAGCTGTGAAAACGCATGTCCTTTTATAGGAAAAAGACAAAAGCCATCGCCGGCAGGCTAATGGCAAAGCAACAAAGCGCATCAATGTGGCAACATAACTACAAATACAGCTGCGGCAGCAACATTGGCACCAGTATCTACAAACGAACAGCGGTGGGGGCGTTAAGGGTGGCAGCAGCGGCTAGGAGCCCACGCATAGCGGAACTAACTTACCACTAACACCAATAGCCATTGATGGGATATGTGAGCACTACACCTATTTACTTGAAAGGGAACACATTGTGGGCGACGGGTGCCCTTACTGGGGTGTCGGGTGTCGGGTGTGTGCGTGTATATGTATATGTTCAAGCACAGATTTCACTGCGAAAGTGCTACAGCTAAAACGTACGTATTCAAAAGAAATTGTAAAACAAATTTTTTCTTAAATTATTTTATTTCACACAAATCTATAAATTATGTATTTTTATATATGATTTTAAAACGAAATATTCGCAAAACCAAAACGAGAAGTGTAGGATTGTTTATTTTTTTTATTAAGGAATATAACTGAAAATTGATAAAATTACGCTGAAAATGTTCATTTTCAAAACTAAAGCGAAACGTTTTAAAAATTTTTTTTATGAAAATTCTTTTGTGATAAACTGGCACTTTTAAAATAAAACCGTAAACTTGATTACTGCAAATGTAACATGAAAACGTGTTAAAGTTAAAACAAGTTTTGTTAACCTCTTCAAATCTACTTGTCATGAAAATGTTTTCAATTATTGGTCGAAAATAAAAACATTGTGCAAATAGAGAAGTTGCTTAATGGTCCTCATGCATAAAAAGTGAGCTGAAGGTCTGACTCAATTTTAAGTAGGTACAAATTCCTCTGCTAAAAGGATGCAGGAATAAATCCCGACCTAAAACGTTCCATACAATTCTGAAAACGAAAACTTTTCTGTGCAGACATGTATCGATTGTCCCAGCAAAAAATACAAATACCTCAGAAATGAATGTGGAATCGAAAAAATTGAAAAATCGCTTCTCCTTTCCCTTCTACAAGGCATTACTTTAGCATGATATGCTCATGACGGTAAAGAATTACATACGACTTTGCATTCCCCGTAATGGTTTCAGGAAGGGAAATACAGTATATATATCGTCCCCTAAGGGTAAAAGGGTGCTAAGTCAATTTTTTGGAATTTTTTTCAGGATAGGCGAAAAATCTATTTAGTTTCGTATTACCTGCCAAAAACTTAATTAAGAAAAAAAAAAATGGAATAATACCTTTTCACCTTTAGGCAGCGATATGTATGTACATACATATGTGTTTTTGTGCGCACAAATATGTGTTTGCGAATGTGTGAATTTTTTAAGCCGCATGAATGACAATTTTTTCTCGTATTAGTAACAATGGTAACAGGCTTTATGAAATCTCATACCGGCATACTCGCTTCACTCGCTTTAGTTTTGCGAAATATTAGTCGAGCGCAAAAGTAACTGTAAAATAAGTCTATAGGCAAAATAGTTCTTCAAATCGGCAAACCTTCACTCTTGACTCCATTGCCAATGCTATTATTTTGATCCGTACACCATTTGCAACAGGTGGATAGAACAAGACATTTTAGCAACATGCTGCTACTTTTGTTGCCTCTGGCGTTGTTATGGATGTTGCTAAACAAAGCGGATTTTAAATTCGTGAGCTAGTTCATGCACTTGCATGTGTGGCTCAAAATTTATCAGTTTCTGTACGAAAGTGTGTACATTTTTATAAAAACGCTGATGTTCTAAATTTTTTTATATTCGTAATATGTTAAAATGCATGTCAGTTTTTCAAAATTCAAACTGGCGTTACTAATATGGCGATAAATTAAAAAAAAAAATGATTGGTAACGAGTTTCAACCCATGAAAATGCTTAAAACGTTCAGATTCAACGTTTTAATTTTAGTATTTTTGTTTTTTAGTTTGATAGTCATATTGGACCCGTGATTTTGAATTTAAAAAAATTGACTTCATATTCGTAATCAGCGGCCCCAAAAACTTCCGAGTGTCGAGTTTCGAAAAAATCCAACCATTAAAAAAAAAAAAAATTATCGCCATTTTGGATCTGCCTTTTTGAATTTTGAAAAACCGACTTCAGATTCGTAATAAAAATCCCCAGAAACCCCCTAGTAACAAGTTTCAGCCCATGACAAGGCGTAAATAGTTCAGTATTAACATTTTAATTTTAGTATTATCTTTTTGAGATCATATTTTCGGGAACTTAACCATTATAAGGAAATTTTTTATTACTCACCGAATTCCTGCAAAAAAAAACAATAAAAAAACGAAATATGCTTAGGCCTGGTGGTTAATTCGCAAATATGTAGTACTAATTAAACCAACGAATGAATGCCTTTTGCAGAGATCAATTTTATCTTTATATGGGCCGTTTATTTTGAAAGTAACATAAATTACTAGTTACTTGTAACCGAATGCATCTGTAAATCTTTCTATTAACATATACTATTAAGAAAACCTTGTTTACCTTTATTGGATGAAGTTGAACGAATAACGGACGCGTCCAGATACAACTAACCGGCCAACAAAGTCCAAGGGATATGAAGTGACTACTTTATACCACTTTAAAAATAAACGGCTCATATATTTGAAACTTCAGAGTGCTTGTAATTTCGATTGTTGGGGAATATCTATGTTAAGGCCCCTATGACCGGCCGTGACGAGATTTGTCAGGATTTACGGGTATGCCCCAACAATGTTTTTATTTAGTGTGTTGTTTTAATGTTTTTACAGTTTAAAAAATAATAATAGAAATGCATAGTAATTGAATTCTCTGAATTACGATGGCGGACGGGGAATCGGGTAATTCGTTTATCCGCACTGGGGTGATTCATTTACAGTCCGCAATGGGGTAATTCATTTACACAATGGGGTGATACATTTACACGATGAAATTTGATTTCCCCGCGTCCAGAATATATAAATTCGAAAGGAGTTTTATGTAGGTAAGAAATACGAGTTTCAAAAGCAAGAAATATGTTACTCTTCTATGAATTCTTTAGGAGTCATATATTCATGATCAAAGTTATGAGCCATCGCTTTGTGCCCAAAAAACAATATAAATTCGAAGTTTATACGAGTATCTTGAGTATCAGATATGGAATATGGCTGCTCTTAAATATAGTGTCACTCTCTTCTCTCGGCAGGAAAAAAATCTCAAGCAGTCTTATCGCATTCATTTCAATCAAGGGAGTTCTAGAAATACAGGTGGACCTTATTTCTATTTCGAAACGGAATTAATGCCCGTGGACTTTATTTCATTTTTTAGGAAGTAAAGTCCGCGGCCCTTATTTCACTGCACCGACTAGACTCAGACTGATCGCCAGGAGGTTTAAATACCAGGGCGACCTAGAATTCAATTCCGAACCCGCTGGTGGAAACATAGGAACGGAAAAGTCACTCTGCTAAGTAAAGCCTAGGTGTAGAAGGGCTTGGCTTCACTTAGCATTTCCAATTGGCGTTACTTGGCACAGAAGAAAAATGACTGGCATGTTTTTTTGGACTTGGTCAGAATCGCTGAGCAAAGGTTTTTTTAATAAATAATTATCTGTGATTTGAAAAACATTGAAATACTTATATCTACATATATTTGCTTTTAACATTTTCATCAAATTTTATTTATTTCACTTAAAATGACTTCAATTTAATATAAATTTATTTGTCTCATACAAAGCTCAGTATGTAAGTGTGTTTGTTTTGAAAATACTTATGTAGATCGTTGGCTCCTAGATACACATATAAATTCCCATCTTATAGCCAACCAGATATCATACGACCTGTGACCGTCGATTTGCCACGTTCACCGCCAGCTGCCGCACTGCTTTGACCCACCTTAATAACCGGCTTGGCGGCTGCAGGCGCTGCTGCTTTCTTGTCGTCCGGCTTCTTGTCATCCGGCTTCTTTTCGTCACCCTTCTTCTCATCAGCCTTTTTGTCGTCCGTTTTTGCAGTTGCTCCCGCACCACCTGCAGCACCAGCACCACTACCACCGGCAGCATCACCTGCAGCCTTCGTAGTCGCCGGTCCTGCATCTGCTGGTTTGGCACCACCAGCAGCTGGCGCATCTGGTTTAGCACCCGCTGGCGCAGCTGGTGCAGTACCTTTGGCGGCGGCAGCGGTCGCACCAGCGCCAGCTGCAGCGCCGGGCTTAGCAGCTTCAGTTTTTCCCGCATCCTCCTTCTTTGTGGCAGCTTCAGGCTTTGTAGATTCGCCGGGTTTGGCAACAGCTGGCTTAGCGGCTGCTGCATCACCTGGTTTAGCGGCGCCAGCAGCCGGCGCACCTGCGGGCTTAGCGGCTTCATCCTTCTTTGTAGTCGCATCAGGTTTGGCAGCAGTTGGCGCTGGTTTTGGCGCAGCGCCGGCAGCAGGCTTGCCCACATCGTCTTTCTTTGCAGCATCGGTTGGTTTAGCGCCAGCTGCGGGCTTTCCAGGCGGTGCTGGTGCGGCCGGTTTGCCATCGCCCGGCTTGCCATCTTTGGAAGTTGAAGTTTTGGAAACGGCATCAGCTTTTTCATCGCTAGCGGCTTTCTGTTCATCAGACTTGACCTTCTTTGACTGCAGTTGAAGGGAAGAAGGTTATGGAGTAAATGATTAGCTATAGTGTATATGTATGTAGTACACATCTGAATGCGACTAATACTTACGCCTGCAGCTTTTTCATCCTTAACGGTGGCGCTTGTTACGGATTCAGCATCTGCAGGGGCGTTCGCGGCACCTTCTTCATCAGCAGCCATCTTCTTCTTCATGAACTTGACATAAGCAACACGTGTGGCACGAGTTACTTCTCCGAGATTGGGATTATATTCTGTGAGGGAAGGAAATACAATGAATACCATTTCGTAGCAAATGTGAGACATTTTCAAAGAGCAAAAAATGTTCCAAACTCATTTGGAGGTTAGATAAATGTTCAAAAAAAAAAAAATCAATTTATACGCACCAATTAGCTGATTTTGATTCATCTTGAGACCTTCGTTCGCCTGATCGATAATCCTGCGCCGCAGACTGCGTTGACTGTGTCGCTGTATGGACGAACGCTTCGAGCCAATCGGATCTGCAGTCATTGTATTTTGGCGTGCAATGGCATTCCAATCCTTGTCACTGTAAGCAAATATGAAGCACACTCAATACTTTAAACGGTCATCCATTGACTGCCTACACCTACCCCGACTTCAGCGACTTCTTCTTGCCAATTACTCGCGCCAACGATGAGAAGATATCCTTGCTACCCTCATCTCCTACGGTCATTTCGTGTTGCAGATTCTCAACAAAACCGATTTGGAAATCTTTAAGTATACGTCGTTCCATTACCTTACCCTTCTTCGTGCCGGCCGCCGCAGCTGCAAATACACATTAAACATTTAAATTCGCTAGGGAGCGCGCTCATCAATTCATTGTCACAGCTGTTCATTACTTACCTGCTGTTTTCTTCTCAATATCGGGCACATTGAAGCGATTGGTTTGGAAAATGTCCAGCAGTTCGAAACGCAAAGAGCTAATATCCTGACGCACTTCAATGATATCATCCTCGGTTATGCCATAGTCGTCGCGTTTTCGCTGCTCTGCGGTGACAAAACGCCGTATTAGCAGCTTCATGACTTTGTCGTGTAACGATTGTGCGCGCTCTTTAGTTTTACGCTGCAAAGACAGGAGAGAGTGGATAGCGCGTTGAGAGTTTGAGTTGGAAAGAGAAGTGATAGTATGTTGTGTGTTGTGTGAGCGAAAAAAACGTAAAATGTTGCTGCTACAAACTATGAAATGCAGATTAGAAACTTTTTGATTTTGGCGCCGATTGTAGCAGCTGGTGCTGCTAGGCTTTGGTGCACTGCGGCGTTGACGTAAGACCACCAACTGCAAAACATCTATCTTGGCCACAGCTTTTCAAGTTGTGAAATTGTTAAAAATGACTTGTAATCTATTTCAATTTGGAATCCAAAGGGGTTTGTCTGTTGAAGAGTTTCCCGTTTTATTTTTGCAACTAAGTACATAGATGATATAGCGTAAGATATGTAAATATGTCGTATTGCCGAATGAGGTAGGTTAGGGATATAGGAAATATTTATTTTTTACTTCGTTTAGTTTTGTGTGATTTAAGCCTTGGTTACTCCTTGTAAACTCCAGGCTAAATTTAATTGCTTGAAATAGCAATTTAAACTCAAAAAACTGGTTCCCGTTTTCCTAAGAGAGCCACGATTTTGGTTTACATATCTTTGTAGATTTCAGTGTTGCCAGATATTTTTTTTTCAAAAACTGTAAGTTTACGCAAAAAGGGTATTTTCGACGAAAAAACTGTAACCTTCAAAAAAGGAAGAGTTTTTTTTAGAAATGAATGTTTCTTAATTTACTTAAACATAAATAACAAAAATAACAGAAAGCGTTCAAATTATACTTAAATAAACAAAAAATACTTTACAAAGTGGTTAATTCAAATCACATTTTCTTTTAATGAAATTCAGTTTCATTATTTTTTGAAAATCGCTCTGTTAATTTTTTCAAGCATATTATTCGATACCTCAAATTTAGTAACTTCTGATTTTTTTTTTTAATTTTTAGTTCTTTAAATACTAAAGACTGCTGGAATATTTAGTTTATTTCTTGTTTTATTCAAATTGATTTGGGAAAATATTCTTTCCACATTTTCTGTGGCGACTGGAAGGCAAAGGACATCGGAAACCATTTCGGCGCTTGGCGCGCAATAACTCCTATCAGCTAAATGCATACCACGTATAAGGTAGTCCGAAAATTTCACAAGATAGCAAAAAAACTTATTTCCCTCAAAAGATTTGAATGGATTTTTAATTGAACTTACCAAATATGAGCTTCTACTGTAATTATTTACTATTATCCTTGTGGAATAGGCAACCACATCAAACGTGGTATCGCATATGGCGAATACGAAAATCACGAACAGTCTTAGTATTTGGAAGACAATATTGCTGTTTTGTTCTTTGAAAAGTTATTAATAAGGCCTCGTGGATAATTTAATATTTCTATGACAGCCAATATTTAAGATATTTAGTTTTCGCAAGTTGTCCAACTTCCTTACAAATTATACTTTATTTACCAAAGAGAATATCCCAGCCTATTTCTTTCGACAAGGTACTCCATTACTTAAACAAGTTTACGAACACGACATATGACACTAAAGATTGCAGAAATGACGGATGTTCGTTCCAAAATACATCAGATTTTAAAATATTGAATCAGCTCTAAATTTGGCATTTGGAAAGACTGACATTTGAATTCGATCTGTATACCTACCATAAAACTCTTAGTGCGCTTTGGTGCCTCCTTGCCCAGTGTTTTACGCAGCAACTTTACTGATGGCATTATATTAAATGGTGGCGGTACGGTGCCACCATCCTCGAAATAGCTCATCCAAAGCTGAGAGCGTGCGAATTTCCATTCAACATCTGCGCGTTCCGAAATTATTTGATATGAATTGGACATCATGGCGATGAGCATGTTGAGCAGCACAATGATATTGATCACCGAGTATGAGCCGAACATGAGTAAAGCCCAGAAGCGTGTGAAGCTTTTAATGCCAGCTAAATCGAATGATACCAAATCGACTAAGCCGAAGGAAGCCCAAAAGAGTGATTGTGAGGTTTCGAAGAGACTATGAAAAGATAGAGAATATGTATGAAAAGATGTAAAAATTATTTCCAAAAATATATATCTGTTTTTATAATCTTATCTTATTACATTAAACGAGTATTTGAGACCCAAACCTTAAAAACATTAAAAAGTATATGCACTCCGAGAAAAGCGCGGTCCACTTGGTACTATTATATAATATCTAATTCATTAATTTACTTTTGTTAAACCCTTTTTTTCTACTTCATTTATATTTTAAAGGTGCATTTATATTTTCTCTTACTTCGAAAAACGTCGCCAAATGGTGCAAGCCTTTTCCTGATCATCGAAATCCGCCACATCCGGATGCAAATGATAACATTTATTCTTCTCTAATTCCGCATAGTACCACAGCAGCTGGTTCAGTCCACAGCCGAAGGCAAACAAAACCAAAGTGTAGATAAAGAAGAATTTTATGATGTCGATTATCATGCGGCCCAACGAAACTTGCAAGGGTCCCAAATGTGGATTAATGGAGAAGATATGGACCAATTTCAAGTAGGAGAAGACCATGGCGGCAGCAAACGCACCTTCGGATAGCAACATGGGATCGAAAGGATGCCAGTGTTCGCGGGGGAAGTAGGGATCAATGCCGCGGTACCATAAATCACGCTGAAACAAAAAAAAGATAAAAAATAACTTGGTAAAAGAAATTGGTATGAATAGCAATGTGTGTGTAAACTATAAGCATACCATACTACTTAAAGTACAATTATTTTTGACATGTTTTCTTTGTTTTTAATATAATTGCTACAGTTTAAAAATCAATAATTCCGCTCCTTGTGATATTCTGGTTAAATAAATAATTTGGCTGAGACATTTAAGTAATAATTGAGGTATTTTGATGAAACTTTGTAAGAGAGACTAGAAGAACATTTTTTTTTAGATGTTGGAAAAAATTGTCTGCCCGCTGTTTTGTAGCTACCATTAGGACACTATGTCATTGAATGACATGCTTTTCTTATGAATAATTTGACTTAAATTTTTTTGAACAAATGATACCGTTTTTTTTTGCTCCTTATATTTTTAGGCTTGAGATTTTTCTCGGACTTTACTGAGGACTCAGAACTTTTCCTGACCGTTTGGGAATTCTCAATGGTTATTAGGATTTTTCGCATGCTTAAAGTTCCACTGTCCATTTTTACTTTAACTATGCTTTTTATGAATTTCTAAAAAATTAATAGCTAAAATTACTGGCTGTTTTCCGCGAAAACAAATGAATGAGGCGAATATTTCCTTATTTGATTAAGAAATGGGAATTTTAATTTGTGTATTCTTTAACTCTAGGGTTTGCAAAGTCGACATCGACTTTCGACCAAAATCGACTTTTTACTTCTGAATGTCGAACTTTAGTGATCGAATTTCAGTTTATTTGCACTAGCGCCTCTTTAATTAAAGCGTTTCTTCTAACAATGCCGCGGTTTTGGTCTTATTAAAAAAAAATGCCAAAAAACGAAAGTTAAATGTGAAAAAGGTGGTGGAGAAATGAATTTTAGTAACAGTACAACAACACTGTCAAATCATTTAGGAGCATCATATAAAATTATTATACGAAAGAAAATGCCTCCAATTTAAAAACAATGCGACCTTCAAAATCTTCAGTTAATAAAGAGGTAAGACAATTCATGCAAGAAAATTTTTTCCATGAGTATACATAAACACCGATCAAGATGTTGCTGTTATTAAATTTCTACCAATACTCGCCACCTCTGTTCTATCGGAAAGGCTTTTCTGCCGTATAAGGCTTATAGCAACGATGTTTAGAAATCAAATTTCCGGAGACACTTAGGCCAAATCGCATTTATGCGAGGTATGAACGCAAAATGATTCCGTTAGTTTTACTTAGAAATTCAAAATTTATATTAAAGTGTACATTTGAATAAAAGCATTTTCACACTGTCATTATTTATGGCTGATTCTTAATGTGAGCAACACAGAGGCTCCATAAAATTTGTATCGTTCATTAAATGTAATATTTATAACAAGGAATCTTCTCGCACGGTAAAAAATTTTCAAAAAGTGGTTCGCGATTACCAAATATCGATTAAAGATTTTTTTTAGAAATCTTTCGAAATGTTTTTTTTTTTTTGTGAAAATTTAAAAATGTTTAAATTATACCGTGCAACTAAATACAACAAGCAAGGAAAAAAACAAAAAAAAAATCACTATTTGTTTATTATGAAAAATGGAAAAAGCAACAGAGCCAAACCGGTAGGAGTTGTAGCAGCTCTTTCGGAGATCATCACATCTCCTCATCAGATTTTTTTTCTAGACTTCAGCGGGGAAGCTCTTCCTTATTCAACCTACTACTATCCTGCTGATGGTAGCCGGTTGAAACTTGCACTTCATAAGACTAAAATTGAAATGAAAATTTTCTAGAAATTCTAAATAAAAAGTTGAAAATGTTGATATAATTTTTTGAATTTCTGTGAACTTTATATAAAGCGTGAAACTATAATATATATGATTAATATTAGAGAATGAACTATGTTTTCATTAATAATTAATAAAATTTTTTTTTTATGGAAATAATTGTGAATACTATATTACTGACTTTCATTTATCGCCTAGTGTATACTTAGAAAATAAAATCAAAAAGCAAATATTTCACTAACGTGCACTATAATCCACGCCGTCGCTCTACACAATATCCACGTGACATAAAACATATTTGATATGAAGTCGACAATATTCCAAAGATCCATAATATACTCGAATAAGCCATCGGAATAAAGAGATTTCAGTTCACCGAAGATTAGACCTTAACCCAAAAAAAAATAAAATAAAATAAAATAAAATTCAGATCTAATTACTCATTCAACATGGATGTAACTAGTGTTCGCTTACTGGCAATATAGGTGATAATACCCAACTCAATGGGACCCGGCAGCGAACCACGCTCATGCTTTCGCCAATCTTCCAGCATGGCTAACATCCAAGGGAATCCCAAAAGCTCGAAGGCAAGATCAACCACACGCAATGAAGCCGCGCCCAAAAGCACTGGAAAAAGTATAAATTTCCAAATTTCTATTTAATATTCTGTTTAACATTTCTACTTATATAACTTACTCAAAAAGAACATATACGAGCAGGAGTGTGATATGAATTTCACAAATGGCTTTCTCATGAATTTGCCCGCATCAGAGTCTGGCGCCAGCAAATAGTTCATACTGTTAATGGGAAACATGCAGCCGAGCTTCACCACTTCTATGATCTGCTGTGAGGCTTGTTTGCGCCTAAAACCGGGCAGTCCCTCATACCAAATGGCCGCCAGCAGTTGTTGCACATTCGGATGCGCCACAAACTGAAGAAAGAGCAATGAGGAAAACGTTGTAGGCAGTAACAGAAGAGAAGAAGATGCGAAAATTTAATTTATACGCCTAATTCAGTATGCATTGCTTTAGTGTGCACTTACCGCTTTCTGCTTATAGCGTATGGCCAATTTGAGACGCTCCAAAGTTTGTCGCTGTCCTGGCATCCAAATATCAGTTGTGGGCTCGTGATTGAAGTTCAGCATTACCTCCAGTTCGGTTGAAGTGCGCGCGTGATCCAATAGAGATGAGACAAACTCTTGCACACCCACACGCATTTCCTATGCGTTGGAAAGCAGCAAATAGAGTAAAGCAAGCAAAAACAACAACAAAAAAAATCTTTGTTTATACATCCTAAGAATTTGTATGTATTTGTATGCATGTACTACTATCAGCATATTATACCGTGCGTGTCAGAGTATGCAGTCGTCTAAAAAAATGCCTAAACAAATCACTAAATGGTCACAATAAAGCTCTTTCGTCAACCTAAATGCGCATTAGTGGTAATCTTATTGTGGCGTTGCCTTTGTTTTTTAGCACTTCACTTTGCAGTTTTACTTTGGTGTTGATTTGCCTTTCTCCTATTTCTGTTGCCCTTATTCTATTTAGTATCTATGTATGTAGTAATATTTTTCCTTTCCGCCCTTGCGTATTCATTCCATTATCTTACCGTATATTCCGCTCTGAATTCAGATTCCATCGCCTGTAGGCGCTTTAATTCCCACGAGAGTTCAAAGGCCGTCAAGACGGGATCGCGCGAGCTAAGCGCTATTAAGGAGCTGGCGGAAAGTGCGCGGTAAGCGTTGATACGCGATTGTGAATGTCGCAGCGAATCGGTTTCTTGTGAGGTGACACATTCATCGCAACCGCATCTGTGAAGAGGAAAAGAAAAACAAAACGTAGAGTTGGTTATGATTTTATTACATTTCCAAATTTGTTAAGGTGAAAAACAAAATAGGATGAGGACTATAGCCCTCTTCTTCCTTTTTTGCACACTGGTCAAATGTGGTGTACTACTGTCGGGTTAAAATTGAATGTGCATTTTTTAATAAAGGTCCTCGAAAACAAGAACTATGTTTGAAGTCCTTTTATACATAAAATGATATATAAGTATATATAAGATATATAAGTTTTAATCAAAAAGTATGAATTTTATACCGCTGTCAAAATTATGATGAACGTTGCATATTTTGTACGAATAATTGTCACATTTTTCCTAATTGGACTGCTCAAATATTGTATAAAGCAAAATCAGAGAGCAAACATTTTTAATTGATGTAAACATCGCATGCAGGATTTTATATTCACTAGTAGAAGGTCTGTTTTACTAGGGTTTACACCGAGTCCACTTTAAGACCACTTCATTTCGAAGTTAAAGTATGTTTGGATCAGGTCATAAGGTTATACTGAAATCTAACCTTCATCAAAAGTGTCACGAGATCTGTTTCAGCGGGTTTTTAACGACCACAATTCACAAGAGATATGAGAAAGTACCACCGTGTGAATTTGTTTAAGTGGTAGCCTGGTGGCTAATAAACGCAACAAAATACTGTCAAACTACATTTCTATAAAGTTCAAAGTCTATTTTGTCAGAAAATTGCAGGCACAGGGGTCAGATCGCTTTACCTTTATCTGAGATATGCACATAGGAGTACATCCGGGTCAATCTTGGAGGACAGAAAAGATGAAAGGATTTAGGAACCTAGCACAAAATTTGCTTTTTCGATGGGTAGATGGTCTACAGTCTTTCATACCGAGGTCTTTGTAATTTCGACTGCCTAAGAATAGTTTGAAAGGCGCATTTATATGTATATACGTATATATATTTTCAGACATGCTGGCGTCCATGAAGTTTATCAACTCTTAACAGCGAGGTACATGGATCACTGAGGTATCTAACGAGACGAGGCTACCGTGGAACTAACGAGCGAAGATTATTCGTCTTATTCGTGGCTTACAATTACCGAGAAGATAAACACAAAACTCAGTAAGCACTGTGGTGCGGTAAAGGACCTCATGCATATGAACGTCGTTTGAATGGAGCCAACATCAGATTGCTGACCAAGACAAATTCTTATCTTTGCCTTAAAGACGAAGAGTTATTATCCGGCGCTGGTTGGACTAACACAGCAAAGTTCATCTACAGTCGAACCAATTATTATTAGAATACTATGGTACCGCCAGAATTGGCCTGCCAGAGCTAAATCTTTATTCGAGGGATTCAAAACATTTTCTATATCATATTGTTCCCATTCCTGTTACAACTAATTTATTTACTAGATAGTCTCGAGCTAATCTAGGTAACTGACCTCTCCATATAGTACGAGGGTAATTTGAAAGGTCAGTGAAGTTTTTTAATTTCGCGCGGAGTAAGTTTAAATGATTTTTTTTTTGGAACTAAGCCCATTGTACTGGTTTAAATGAATGCTGCTCCCGCCAAGTGTCATCGTTAGTAGACATTGACAGCCAAAGTGAAGATCTCGTGCTGACTAGCAATATCTTCTGCGTAAGAAAACCTTTACCGAAACCAAGGAGGGACTTTATGAATACTATGGGGATTCCGCAACATCAATTTCGATGGTTTAATGAGTTTCGTTCTGGCCGTACCAGCACAAGTGACTCTGAACGTTAAGGTCGCCCAAAGAGGACGATAAAATCTATGCACAATCGGAGAATTTTAGTGTGTAGCGCTGCCTAAAGAGTGCCGCGTTTACTCACACATGACCATTAACTCAACCGTATGGCCACTTCAAAGGAATGTCTGGCGGAGTTCAGCCGCAATCCGAACGAGTCTTTGCACCTTTTCGTGACGTTTGACGAAACATGGATGCACCACAATGCGCCAGAGAAAAAGCAAAAATGAAGAAGTGCACCAAAGAATGCCGAACTGGGTAGGTACGCCAATAAGGTCATGTCCACAGGATTTTGGGATGCACGCGATATTATTAGCAACGAGTATCTTAAAAAAAAAGACAAAACAATAACTGGTGAATATAATTCAGAGCTTTCGATTCAACAATGCACGGGTGCACGCTTGTGTAGTTAACGTAGAAAATATCCATCAATTGGGCTACGAACACTACCCCATCCACTAGATTCAGCCAGCGACTATTCTCTGTTTCCAAACAGAAAGCATGGATCGCATCAAGAGGTCATCACTGAAACAAACGTTTATTTTGAGGATCTTTGAAGACACTTTTATTCGGAAAGAATTAAAAAATTGGAAACACACTGGAATATAGGTATAGAGCTAAAAAAGTGCTATGCTAAGAAATAAAATGTTTTTTTTTGTGAAAAATAAAGATACCTTTAATTCAAAAAGTCACTGACTTTTTAAATTGGCCTCGTATGTAAGTATTTATCCTTTCACTAAATTAATTTAGAACTCCAAGTTCTGGATTTTGACGGCGATTTCTAAGACTGTCGTACCAAAACTTTCAGCGGACCTTCTCCCAAACTGGCCTAACCTTTCGAGGGTTAGGCATTACAAGATTAATTTAAAAAGCGTTTTTTGCAGTTGCAGAGTCGAAAAATTCGGAGGCATTCCTAAAGCATTCAAGTCTTTATTTTCGTAAGCTAATAGAATGAAAGTTTAGTTGTAGTTGATTAGCAACCGGAGTTTATTATAAACATAACTAGCTCACTTTCCATCTGGAGTGCCTTCTAAAAAATGTGGGTCAAAATTTTAAACGAACACATAATATTAGAAATAATTGTTGAGCTTTGCAACCAACTTAAAAACTAAATGATACAATTTGCTATCCTCCTCTACCACCTTCATCATACTCTTCAACAAATCCAAAACACACACAGCATCAGTCCAAACATACTAATGATGCTCGTGCAATTGGTATATGCACGCCATCCCGGCAAGAAAATCTTTTAATAGTTTTGTAACTAAGTACTAGCAAATTTTATTTACATATTTTTGATTCCCTACAAATACCAACGTACCAGCACTTTTCTGGAGACGTATTAGTAATGTTATACCAGTTGCAGGGTAGTTTGCCTAAGCATCATCAGTTAAAGGAATACATTTTTTAGTTTGCTTGGGCTACCACAAGAGTCCCAATGAATAACTGGTTTATGCGCTGGCATGCCATTCGAAAGATCCGTTAATGCGGATTTAAGAAAGTAGCTGTTCAGTTGTGCTTTTATCTATAGCAGATCGATCGCAGGTATACCTGGTGAGCTCGTAAACATAAAGGTAACGCTGTCTCTATCCAGCCGCAAAACAGTAGTTCTAAGCTGCTTATTTCCGTTGAAGTGTGGGCCTGTGTGAGGGTAAATTAATTTTTTGTAGTTTTAAAAACCAAACCATATTTTTCTAAGCCTACATACACTTACGTAGGAAATTCTGAATAGATATTTTTCATACTACAGATTCTCTTCGCCCTAGTTAAGATTTTTTATTTGAATGCCAATTCAGGCGGAGGAAAATAGATGTTTTAGTGAGAAAACTTTGTAAAGAAATCCATCACAGAATTTCGATTGGTTTCGGATGTGATTATTCGAATACAAACGTTGCTAATCGCATAATCGAAAGTTGTTTCAAGCCCTTCAAAACAGCTCATAACAGTAAATGAAATAGTCGGTTTCTACCACCTTATCTACCATTTAGCAGCTTATTAACTGCTTTGTCATTTCACTGCAGGGATATTTCATAGTCTATGCATACGACTGCTCACTTTCACTACTAGAAACTCGAAATTGGTTATACATATGTACATATGTATGTATATAAGCACATATGTACATATGTATATTGCGATATGAAATACTCAATGCTAATAAAACCCACTCCATCACAAAACTGTGGTAGGCCACATAAATTCAAATTATTTCAACATCATGTTATGCGGCATGCAACACCAAGCAGCTGACGATAATAACATCGACAACATTGCAAAAACAATGCAAACTGGTTAGAAAATCACGTAAACATGCGCATGCGGGCGTGGCGTGGCGTGGCCTGTAGTGCTTGAGTGCAGGGACAGCACAAATAAGGAAACGTGCCGAAACCGAGAAATTTTGGCTATAAGAACTACCAGGCTCAACAATAGCAACAATAAGGTAGGTGACAAAACCTAACAGATACAATCAGTGGACATTTTGATACAGTTGTTGATTTGCAAATGCATATGTATGAGCGAGGTACGTGTGTTTGTGAATGTACCAAAGTGATTGTTTAAAAAAGTGTTACGTCAAAATAGGTCAATATTAGTGCAGAGCAAAATAGTCGCAAATGGTTACAACGCAAGTACGAAATAACACAATAATTGGGGAGAGCTGTTGATTTGCAGCGGATTGCAGGTACCAGAGTTGCAATGATAATGTACCCTACCCATGCATGCATATACGACATACATACGTGCGTGCGAACATAAAAAGGTACACTTACTTTACGTCATGCGGCATGGGCAACGTAGCACCACGATCCAATAGGATTTTGAGTATTTCGTAATTGTTGCGATGCGCTGCCAATATTAGTGGCGTGATATCCGGTGTAAATGTCGACTTAGAACGGTCAACAGCTTCCCAGCTCTGTAATGTGCCAAATTAAAAATCAAATTAGAATTATGTAAATACATACATACATACACACAAAAAATGTGCGCTAGTTGATGCACGCGTATGCATCTAATTGAGTGTACATACATACATATTTATATAGGTGCCAAGCAAACTTCCGCACATACTTACATAGGGTTGCCCCTCTTTGTGATGCGTCTCTTCCCATTGCAGTAATTCTTCCACCGCTTCAACATACTCTTCCGATATGGCATGCAATAGCGCATCGCCCACTTCGATGCCACACTCCAGCAGCACAACGATTAAATCGAAATTTTCATTCTCAATGGCGGAAATGAGTGCAGACCGATTGAGCGGATCGACACAATTTAAATTAAATTTATCCGGTTGATCCTTGTTGTCTTCGATAATTCTGGAACGACGACAATTGCAGCAGCATATTAGTAGTATAAATTAAATAGTATAACCGCCCATGCGACAGTAAATTTTACAAACACAAAAAATCAATATATACGCGAAACTATGGACCAAATATGTCAGGCTTTTTTAAAGGACTTTGAAATTTGAATAATATGATAGGTTCAAAATATTATTAAAAAAATCAGCGCAATTTAGAAAAAAATAGCATGGGTATCGAATTAAACGGAAAATTCTGTGGAATTAAAATTTCATCCTTGAATATGCTTCAAAATTTTGCAATACTTTTTTTTGAAAAACTTACATACACTTGCGATCAACTAATTAAGTCAGCAACATTTCGATAAGTTTTGGCAATTTTTCTTCCTTTATATATTTAATGCTTATTATTTTTTCATAATCAAAATTTTCAAATTTGTATTCAGTTTTATAGCCCAATAAATTCTAGCCTAATAAAGTGCAAGTTTGAGGTCTCTAGGTAATCGTGTTGATTTTTAATAGTTTTTTTTTTCACACCGTATTACGCATACAAATAAAATTGTCGAATATACTTTGTATGGAAAAAAAATTATAAAAAATCAACGCGATTTTTTAATGGCTTAATTAGCTGATCGCAACGGTATGTGTTATGGGCTAATATACACCCGACCTTATGCTTGAATTTCGTCCTTCTAGCTTAATTAGCTTCAAAAAATAAAATTAATTAAAAAAGCATGTTCAATACCTATTCGTCGTCGTGAACCACTTTTATTTTATTTTTAATTCTTTGTAATTTGGTACCCATTATTCTACATTGCACTGAATTTTAAAAATATTTTTTTTTTTTTAAAATCATATAATTAAAATTACAAAATCATTAAATAAAAAATCTTAACTTCAGAAATAAAAACTAAAAATGCATTTTTACTACATAGTTTCGTGAGTTAATTGATAGCTTCATGTGTTTTCAAATATTTTTGTTTTTGTCACACGGTGTTTATTAAATTTGATTATTTGAGATTGGTTGCTTACTTCTTCACACCCTGTATGTCACCACGTTCAGCAGCTAATATGAAATTCTTTTCAATCTCATTTAGCATATACTCCTCGCCCAATGAGATGTTATAGGTGGGCTCACCCTGTTCAGGGTCATCAGCGGCGGGCTTTTTTTGCGACATTTTGCCGTGTGCATGCACTCAGTCAGAAAGTTCTTCGCGGTCGAAAATTGTAACGGAATTTTAACTAAAATATTTTATGGACCTGCAATAAAAATAATTCTATTAAATACTGATTTGCTACTTTTGATAAAGCAATAATTGCTATGCATTCATTTATGGTGGCCAGCTATTACTTTATTAAACTTAACTGAAATAAGAGTAAAGTGAAGTAAATATAACAAAATTGAATAGATTATACATTTTTGGTTTTTACTTCTGACAGTAAGTTTTGATTTGGAGGAAAAACCTGGTCTAATTTAGTAATAACGAGACTGTTCATGGCAATTAAGCGGCTGAAAAACAACCAAACTTCTGCAGCTGACAACCTCCCTGCAGAGCTATTTGTGTATGGCGCCGAGGAGCTGCATGCATCAACTCTTATGCACAATATGGTCAGATGAACGCCTGCTTGTTTACAGTTTTAAGACTTTTTTTGGCATAACTAGTTACAAAACAACTATTTATTGTTGCAATTTGTACACAATTGGTGTCCTCTTTCCTGTAAGGTAAATTCGGTTTCAGTGTACCACACATACTGAAGTAAGTGTCTCCAATGAACACAATCAGATGCCTTCTTTTCCTGGTTTAGCTTAGAACCCACACTAAATATCTTTCGTTTTATGGAACCCCACATTAAATTACTAAAAATCAAAGGCACTGCAATTTAAATATGAATAACAGCTTTTACTAGAAATAGTATACATACTTTAACT